TTGAGACTCGCCATTTCGGTGAGTTGCAGTGGATTCATTCGTCGATTGTCCATGATGGTCATTGAGGCGCCAGCACAGACCAATAGTCTTGTGCTCTTGATATGACCATAAAAAGCTGCGTAGTGTAGCGCCGTAAGCCCGTCCAGTGAGTCCTGTTGATCAATCGATGCTCCATTCCGCAAGAGAAGAGATAATACCTCGTCTGATCTGCCCAGTGAAGAGCTGTTCGCCCAAGATGGTCCACTTCGTCCACGATTTGTTCATTTCTCAAACACAATTGCGCCGTCTTTGCATCGCCCGACCGCGCAGCCTCAAGAAAAAGTGCGAAACGACCGGGAAAGTTGTTGCTGTGTTGTTTCTGCCCTGTAGTAACAGCGATTTTACTCTGTTGAGTTTTAGTGTTCAAGTATTGATGAGCTGCCTGAGCATTTTGCGTTTCGAGCGAAACTTGAGTGCAATACGCGAGTACCACAGTGGATATGCCAACGACAATGTAAATAATCAGTGGGACGGCAGCTAGGATCAAGAAAACTCGTCTGGTACTTGTCGCCGTACTGGAGGGAAGACTTAAAAATAGTAGTAAAAATACCACACACGGAAAACCCACACAGATTCCACGAAGACAGCGACTTCGTAGACAGCATAATAAACGCGAAAAAGTTGGTGAAGGAACATCGCTTCCTATCCCTTGCTTCTCGCGAAATACTGCGTTCTCCAAGTCGTCATCCTGGTCGCCTACTGTTGGAATAGAAGAAGCCATAGCATCAATTTGGTTGATCGGTGCAGTGTTGTCAGGTATTTATAAACGTCAGGACCTTTTAAAAATAGTGAATGCTCATCAAGAAAAAAAGAGCACGTGCTGTGGCAAGCGAAAATGCAAGGACCTCCGTTAGAATCGGAATCTATAGGATGTACCCCATCAACGAGGACATATCCCGATGGAACTGTGAGATCTGCCCGTGGGTCTTCGGCTAGTTCACATCGCAGACTTCGACAGGAATTGTCCTATCCAGCCACCGCACAATGGGCGTTCCTGACCTCGACTAACACACAGCAGACCAATCAACAACGACCTTCAAGGCCTTCTACCGCTCGAGTATCTGCTCCATCGGAGGGCATCAAACTACCCAAACGACCTGCTACCAGTCGAACCTCGAAGACTCAAATCCGTCATCATGAACATGAGGAACATTTTACGACGAGAAGTGACACTATAGCGATACAAGAGGCCATTCGACGCGAACGAAACCAGGAACAGTATGTGAACCCGCTTATTGGTCGAAGTGTGGAGTCTCGAGGGCAACTTGGTCGGGATGGTAAGCCCAATCGTGATGGAGTAGAAACTAGAACTATGGAGTTATTGTCCCGAGCTCGTGTCGTCTCCACAGCCGCGATGAATGCTACAGAACGTCTGCGCTCGAGAGCTTTCCAGGCACGAGCAAATGGAGATTATGACCGAGCTATCAAGTTTTACACGAGTTTATCGACTGCAAAACCGAGTGAAATTGAGGCGAAATTCCAGCTCGCTGTGTGTTTAGAACGAACAGGTCAAATCAGACCCGCGTTAGCAGCTTACAAGCAAGTTCAGAGACTTTCCGGTGGACAACATGCCTTCGCGTACTATAATATGGGCAATTTGTGTAT